TGTGTGTATGTATGTATGTAGTTCGCTATTACTTTTTTTTTTAATATGTTTTTTAATTGTATTATTTTCTTGTTTTAATGAATACATCTAACTTTGAAATGAACTCACTAATATCCTTTAAAATTTCCATTCCCTCACCCTTCTGTTTTCAATTAATTTCACTCTATTCTACATTAGTTTGGTGAAAGAGAGATTAAACCTCTTCAAATCATGGTCGTAATAATTAAATAATTACAGTATTTGCGGGCAGTGTGGGGGCTGTCATGGTCTAATGGTTAGAAAGTCGGGCTTGTAACTTGAAGGTTGCCGGTTCAATTCTCGCATTCTCGTGTGTGTTGGTTCACTACTCACTGCTGTGTGTGTGCACTTGGATGGGTTAAATGCAGAGCACCAATTTCGAGTATGGGTCACCATACTTGAAAATATGTCATGACTTTCACTTCACTTTTTTATAAAAACCCTTAACCACGGTACACTTACAACCACATGTTGTATATATTGCTTTAATATTCCCGTTTAAACGTGTATGTGTGTTTCTTTACCATCATAAAGACAAAGCTGATGGTCATGAAGATGTTAGCGATGGCCACCACCGTCTGATCAGCGGAGATGGCCAGAGTCATGGACGTGGCTGTGTACGACACCAGAACGATAGAGAACAGGAAGATGAAGAAGGCCTCGGCCGATGCCTTCAGTCCTGCACAGGAAACACAAACACATCAAACCACACATCTGATATCAGACGGACATGAATGACGTGATGATGAAGGCGATGTGTGTCTGACCGATCATAAAGTACGCCACGCAGCTGAAGATGATGGCCGGGATGGTGCGCAGAGTCAGGATGTCAGACAGGATCTTAGACAAGAAGTACACTGAGACTCTGTAGTATCCGCTGATGTACTCGTGCCTGAGGACACGCCCACCATAACAACATCATCAATCAATCAATCAAATATTCTAATTACAATCAATCCCCAACATAACTGCACAGAAAATATCAGAAGCCAAATTCACCAAACATTCTTTAGAATTAAATTATTATTTTTTTCTTATTATTTTCTTACTTTGGAAAAAAAGTTTAAGAATATGTTGTATTCCCAAAAATTACTTTTCAAAAACAAAACTTAACAAGAATTAAAATTCTTGAAACGAATCTTCTTAAAATCATCACAGATGACCTCTTAACCCTCTGGTGCTCTTTAGCCATTTTTGACTTCATTGGAATTGTACGAAACTTGGTAAAGATTTTGCACTTGCTATGTGAACACAGAAAACCCCAAAACGAATTCATGGACATGATTCGAAAAGGTTAAATGGTCCTGAAAAAAAAAATTGTCACACTTGTACTGTTCACGGTCAAAAATCACCACATTACAGAGGATGCAAATTTTATCTAGTGGAAACATTTGGTATTGCGCCTAAAAATCTTACAGAAAGCTACATTTTTGCAATATCAACAACAAATTTGGAGCACAACTTTAGATTTATGGCTTTGATTTTCACTGGTACTGTTCAAATTCAAAACTAACCGAATTGGAAATGAATGGGATTGTATTGCGCACAAACAAAATCCTAATACTGTACATTTTTTTGTGATATCTACCTCAAATGTGGAGCACAACTTGTTTAGAGTTATGGCTTTGATTAAAACACAGTGTTAGATTGAAACGTTTCGGAAAATACATATTTTATATAGATTTTGTATTTTTGTGCACTTTTAAAACAATACACAAATGAACATAATTTTTTTAAATTTCACTTTTTTAACTTTTAAAAAGTCAAGTTTTTTTAAAGTTAAGTTGAAGTGACACCAATAAGTGTAAACAGTGATCAATCATGATTATCAAACATATTTGAAAACTTCTTGAGAAATATTGCAATTATTTGCTTTTATATATACACTGTTATTCTGTTTTAAATGTGATATGATAAACATTTAATCTTATGAATAATAACCCACTCAATTTGAATAATAGGAGTTATACCTTCTCAGAAATTTCGTTTTTTGTTTTTATTTTTATACATTTTATATTATACTACTTTTAACTGTAAATAATTACAAAATGAACACAGAAATATCCTATAATAAAACCTTAATACAAATAATAATACACATTCACAACTAATCTACAACCAAAGTTCATGAAAATAAATTTTGTGTTCAATTAAAAATGTTTTTTTTTTTTTCATTTTTACAATATATCTAAATAAAACTTATTTATTTATTTAATATTTTATTTATTTACCTGCATGTCCTGTCAGGAAGTATATTTCACTAAAACCATTGAAAAATGTTGTTATTTAAATACACAATAATAATAAAAACAAATACATATAAAATAAAATAAAATATCAAAATAACCTAAAATTCTAATAATACATCTGTACTATAGAATACATCAAAACAGATATATTTAAAACTAATTCTATTAATAACAATTAAACAATTTAAAAACCTTTACCTAAATAACCTTTTCACCCTATTTGATAATCACACTAAACCATAATTATATACAAAGCCATTTTTTATTTATTTTAATTAATTGTACACATAAACAACCTACAATTACAATGTTTCTACACTGGATATGAACGTGAAAGTGACGTGACATGTGGCCAAGTATGGTGACCCATACACAGAATTAGTGCTCTGCATTTAACCCATCCTAAGTGCACACACACAGCAGTGAACACACACACACCGTGAACACACACCCGGAGCAGTGGGCAGCCATTTATGCTGCGGCGCCCGG